ATAACTTGTTTAATGCGACAGTTTCGACGAAATTTGCTGCATGTATTGTCTAGCTAAGAGGTGGATCGTAAATCATGACAGTTAAAGACCGTTTACAGCTGGAACGAGACATTATAAGCTGGTATAACTGCAAGGTGATGAGAATGCTTGGTCTCGAATGTCCCGCCGTTCCGTGGATTATGCAGGTGTGGCAATATAGTAGATCTCAGAACCGTGCTGTTGTTCGAATATCAACGAGTGTTAATTTAACTTATTGGCAGTATTTCGCCTACGGACATGCAACCAATGTCAGTTTGCCGTGCTTTCCTTGCAGGCGTCCAAGTCAAGTGACATGAGCGAGCCTACAATGATCTCCTGTCCTACGCGTTAGCCTGCGACTCGTCATGTTATTTGCCCCACCGTCTATATCTCAAACGCACAAGGCCTTTGCTCGAGCAGCGGAGACCACCCGTCCAAACGGCGACGAACGCCTCCCGGCGCGTGCGTGACTAGCCTTTCAGCAGCTCAATTACAGGAACTGCTTCAGTGTCCGGAACAAACACTGGCGACGCCACTGTGTCGTGACGTCACTGGTTTCTGCCTTGACGTCACTTGGCCCTCATGGCCCCTCCCTTTCCCAAGGCTTTTAACGGTGATGTTTGAGATTGGGGTCTGCGCCACGATATTGATTGCGTGGTTACTGATACGCCATTAATTTGCGTGTATATGACCGTCTAATGGTGATATATAAGCGATTTATATGGCTGATAAGCGATAACTGCTTGGCATCTGTCATAATTAAGTTTTAATTGGCTCATGCATCAGTGATGACGGTAATTATGCGTTACGTTTCTTAAAGCCATCGTGAATGTGAATGGCACGTGCATGAATTACTGCTCCTGCCCTGCCTACTATACGGTACCATTTTGGGACCATGCCTGATGGGTCATTTGCATGAGCTATTGCGGAAGTAGCCCAGTGTCTACGCCCATCCATGAGACGGAGTTTTAATCAATTTTACCAAAGGAATCACTAAATTGCAACGTTGAAATATATGTCTCATTAACTTGTCAATGACAACAGCATAAGTTGCACGCCATTAATCACAGTTCAATGTCGTGATCCTTATGTGGAGTGTGTAAAGACGACACGCCGGGCTATATTTATGACTGAGCGGGAGGGGGACATAACAGGACAGGCGACAGACGAACCAAGACGGACTAGGCGACAAACGGTCTTAGACGGATGTTCAGCGGCAGACGAACCAAGACAGACGGTAGGCGTCAAACCAACAGAGACGGTAGACCACTGATCAACAATAAGAGACGCTGGGTAACAAACGAAAGACGAACCAAGAGGAACATTTGATGTCATAAGAGGTGGGACTCGATACTAAGAGGTCGGGGTGCGCTCCCCAGCCCAAAGTCTTTGGTGTATGTTTAGTTATGAGGATCGTATGGACGGGTTATCCCGAGAAGCGGACGGTTAGAAGCTAGCCCATTGTTTGGTGTCAGGGGAGTCGCCACACCTGTGATGGCCGCCGGCCAGGTATCTCCCCTCTCCTCACCCCCCCCCCCCTCCATCCGGAGAGAGATGGACGGCCTGGGTAAACAACAGTGAGCTTCTTCCAGCCCATTGTGTTTGTGAAACTGCCAGGACCATGTATAGTTTTTATACAACGTGGATTCGGCGAGACATTCCACAAGCAAAACAGAGTTGGTAAACTTGTGCCGAAGCTGGAATTGGCATGTTGAACAACATGCAAAAAGTATCTGACCTTCGGATGTCGACGTCATGTCGGGCCTCTTTTTCCACTCACTCGTACACGGCAGCCGTAGATTGTTTGCTCCACGGCTCATGAGACGGTCTCGGGGCGGCCGCCGCTCCCTGTGCCGTGCGCTGCGCCGGTGCCGTTTGGAAACCAGAGAAGCGCCGCCGTTGTCGGCAGCTCGGGGCCTCTGCAGTGCCGGACGGGACTGGGAGGCCCAGCCCGACATCCGAGCCGTCAGCAGGGACTACCCCCTGTGCCTGACCTCTGACCTCCGGCTCTGCTGCCTGGTCTGACCTCTGCTGACCACTCCGCTATCCGGATGTAGCGCAGGCCAGTTCAAGATTGTGAGGTAGAACGCTGCTTTCATTAAAGTTGCTAGGTGCCGGCGAACGTTACAAGGTCAAGAACGAACATTCCCTGTCCAGTGTCCTCCTTGCCCACGCCCCACACGGTCCTCCCACATTCCTTGGCCGTGCATCTATTATTGTTCCGTCCAGTCGGCACGTGCCAGCTCGCGCCCCAGCACGGCACGCCGCTCAAGGTCCCTGGTTTGGCTCTGTCGTTTTCCTGGTTACTCGGAGGCGGCGGCTTTCGTGAGCACCAACTGTTCCCCAGTGCCCACTTGCTCGGTGCCTGGCACCTTGCCAGCATCCAGGGTCACCGAGCCGAGCTGACGTGCAAACTCGACACGATGTCTCTGGCATGTCTGTCGCTGAATGTTTGTGGTCGCTTCCTTTGGAGCCGTCCAAACAGATGAGGTGACCTCATCTCCAGCTTCATTACATTACATCACAATTCCTCAGTGTGTGTTATCTCCGAAAGGACTGGAAAAACTCGCTTCTGTAAACAATTTGATCAAATTCTACACCGCTGGGCGCTGACTGCTGGTTAACATTAGAAACATTAACTCCCAGTGACCTTATTTTTCATCGGATCATGAACTCCAGACCAACATGCTGCTCTGGATAATGTTTGTGCCGCTCCTGAGTAAATTTGTTGTGTCGTCCCATCAATCATTTTTTATAGGTGTCCTTATGTTTTTGTTTTTATTATTCCACGATCGTGTGTCTGCTCTCTCTCTCTCTCTCTCTCTCTCTCTCTCTCTCTCTCTCTCTCTCTCTCTCTCTCTCTCTCTCTCTCTCTCTCTCTCTCTCTCTCTCTTTCTCTCTCTCCCCACAAATAAAAAACAAACACAACACGCCTCTTGGCGGCAGTGGGCGACCAACGACTAACCAGCCATGACGAGGGACTGTCACCAACCGCGAGAATGTGACCGAGACACCAACACTCCAACATTGGCGCACTGCCAGCACACCACGCACCTCCCCTTCTCCCCTCCCTTGCTGGGCTCGAGATGCTCGTAAGCTGCGGCGTCTGGTGTGATATGCACCCCCGCGGTGGCTGCGCGTCCGCAGAGAGTTGCTGTTATATGAGTGAGCGAGTGAGGAAGTGCGGCGGCTGTCGACGCCTTCGACGACTTCCGTGTGTTGAACTGAAGGCGGACGTGCCAGGCGATGACACGCATGGCTCATGGGGGGCTCTGCAGAGCTCCGCGAGGTGTCAGAAATCTCGGAAGGTAAACCAGAGGGAGACTCGTAACGGCGCCTGTCGACGCCAAGCAAGCGAGCTGTGACGGCGCTCACGCAACTTGTGGAAACGATTATGGCTGGGGAGGCGCGGGAAGTCGTCAGCGCCGGCACGGTGGGTGCATCTGACTGCTCTGTCACAACACGCGTCCGTCGTGCGTGCGTCCATAGCCGTCACGAATCCGTCGCGCGTCTGTCACCCATCTGTCACGCGTGTGTCATCCGCTTGGCGAGCGACGCGATCTGTCCATCAGTGCCACGGACTTCCCGACGGACCTCATTCGGGTCAGGTCGTCGGTGTCGACGGACGTCGGAGGATGTGACGACGACGGTCGGTTCCGTCAGAGCCGACAAGCTGACGTGAGGGATCACCGCCACCGACTAGGTCAACGGGGCGGAAGTTTTCCTGTTGTTTAACTGCCGATTACGTGACGAATGAAGTAATTTTAGAGTACAGACCTTCGAACTGTTTATCTTGATGCACAATGCTGAGGCCGAAAGAGTGGCACGATATCAGCAAAAAATCACACCAGCCAACGAACAAATATCTAGTGAATGGCCAATGAGTATACTGATCTGATGCAATAAAGGCTGTTCAGTGTTCACTTCCCAGAAGATGGAGTTTTTACGTTTGTGTGTGGAATTCGGTGTTTTCCGTATGCATGTATCCTTATGCACACTATCAAAACACGCAACCTCGATGGCTATCAACTGCAAGCCGCTTGCTGAGCTTTTGTGAGGTAGGTATTTGTAGGTAAATGGAATGGGAAGCCTGTGTTTCCTTTCAGGCGTGTTTGGCTTGGCGCAGTGATTGGTGAAAAGCAAGTTTTTGAAGTGCGTGTTATTACTCCAGAAATATGTGCACATAAACTTAGAACAGTATCCTGTAGAAAACATAAAAACAGGCCTTAGTTGATTGAGGGCCGTTCCTGGAAAACCGTTAATAACCGGCTACTTATTCTTACAGACCATTTGCTCGTATCAATAATCGATTCAATTATACACTCGTCTTTGAGCAGTGTCCCGGTGCTCAATTCACGTCACCGCTGATCCTGCAGGCATTCCTGGGTACTGGAGCTCACCGAGCTCGTAGCTACACGTCCTCAACACGCCGCACTCACCACAGCGCAGCCCTCTGACCACTGATCGCTGACCCCTGACCGCTGACAGCTGCCGCTGGTCATGTCCAACACCGCGGGGCCATGCAGCGACAGCGGCCGAACAGGCTGGCGGCGCTGCGATCAATGACACTCTGCTGTACCGCGGCGTCCAAATCGTGTCTCCTGTCCGCGAAGTGAAGCGCCCGTGACGTGCGGGATATCTCAATTCCAGGGACGAGTGCTCCCGACCCAGCTCTGCATCAAATGAACTTATCAGATACATGGACGAATCTGTTAAGGGATGCTTTAAAGGTCCTATGACAGTCAATCACGAACCCAAACAACATTTTTTATTTCCTAATAACTGGTTTGATTACAAATGAGGATGATGTTCTGCTTCTCTCTCCCGTCAATCATCAAGTGCAACACTTTGGCCTATGCCCAACACTGGCAGCTTTGGAGTCATAAGCCCTTGTGGAATTATGTGCCTTTGAATGCATGACAATTGACTCCCGCGCACTTATGCTGACCACTGGCTGACCATTCCGTCTCTCCCTGTTACAGAAAACGTCACTGTCTGCGAGCTCGAGCTCTGCCAGCTGATCTTCGGCACCACCTGCGTGTGCGCCGAACCGGAGGGCTGCAAGCTACCGGACGTGTCGGCTGACCCGACCTCCTTCACCAGTCGCGAGGAGTGCGACCAGGCGGCCAAGGGCAGCCTGCTGCCGCCGCTGGCGACACCCACCGAACCAGGTAGGTCCTGCTGAACGACGTCAGGAATCTCGAGTCTGGTCACGAGTCAATAATCTCCCTAGGCATCACAGTGAGTCCCGAGCAAGCACCTACTGAGTCGGACCAGGTTATGCCGGTTTTCGTTGGTTGTGTCAACCGTGAGCTGAACCCGAACGCTGCTAACCGCAGACCTGTCAGTCCCCACTCGCCCTCGGGTGAGTCTGGCTCTGGCCCCCTGTCAAACCACAACCATGGTCAGGGAGAACTGCAAGGCTGTTACCATGCAACTGCGAGACCTCGTCCGCCGCTCCAGATCAGGGTGAAGGGCGGCACTGGAGCGTGCAGGGGATGCTGCAGGTCGCCAAGACGAGGCGGGAGTCGGGACTAGTCCGGTAAATGGTAGAGGGACTGGTCAGATGCACTGAGATGTCACGGAGGTGTTTGTCGTGGCTCAATGGAACTAAGGAGATAGGGTCGTCATTGAGGGTTTCGGTTTGGTGAATGGCGCAGTGTTTGAGAATTGAACATTGAGGTGACTTTTACTCGTTAGATGTGCGGATCAAGCGAGATATGGGACTTTGCCCTTTATCTCTCCTCTCCTCTTTCGCCTGGTGGTGATTCTTCATTTGGGAGCGTTGCACTGATGACAGGTCAGATTTGCACGTGCAAGATGGCGATTATAAGAGCACCCCTCTAGTGAGGTCTTTCGACACCTGCGTGACTCCGCATCTCCGCCACTGGAGCGGTCATCACCCGCGCCGTGACCGCTGGTCGTCCCGAATCCAATCAGTATGCGTCCGACGCTGCTGGGACACCCACCTGCTCAACGTCTCATTCCAACCCTCCGTCACGGGCCGCGACCACGCCCTCCGGTGTGGACTCCCCTCCGCCTCGCGTTTGGCCCGATCAGGTCACCGGCGCGGCGGTCAGCGTCCCCAGGTGCCCTGTGCGCCTCACGCGTGGCTAATTGCGTTGTCGGCGCACGCTGTGCCGCCTAGAGAGCTGTCGACTACAATGACTGGTGGGTCGGCGTCCGCTGCCAACGTCACTCAGTGCGCCCGCATGATGGGAGGCATTCTTATGGTAATGCCGGCCGGCTGACCGGTCAGGACGCGACCGGCGCCGGCTGGCGGAAATGACCCGGCACACGCGCCCCTGATGATGTTGCAACTGGTGGGGGCGCTTGTTCGACGCCGGCGCTATTCACCGACGTGGCTATTCACTGCGGATGATTTATTCGGTCTATACAAACACAGTTCCTTGTGAGCGCGCATAAAGCAATAACTGTAAGTCATCCGTTGTATTCCTCTGACAGGCTCATTCTGACTGTAAATACCGCCTGTTTCTCATGACCTTGTCTTCTTTTCATGCATGGCTTCCCTGTCTAGCGACATTGCCGAAAAAAAGACAGATTATTTACCTTCAGCGAGCCACAAGTAGGCCCAACCCACGACCTGTTGTATTCAAATGCCGTCAGGCAGCATCGTCCAGCTGCAACTGGCATCGCGGAGCTTGTCACACGTCAGCGGGCGGCCATCACAGCGGCGGCTGTGCCGGCTATCTGGTGTTGGTTTCACTGTCAGAAGAGCACATAAACAGCGCGATGTGCACATGTCGCTCTCCGCTCCACCGCCGGCCGGGGCGCTGTTTATACCGCTCAGCCTGGCGACACTCGGGCATCAAGTGGTGTGAAACCGCAGCACTAGACGTCTCCGGTGTCAGGAGTTGCAGGGCGCCATGTGCCTCCGGCCAGAAATGTGGGGAATCTGTGAGTTGACCGGTCGCTGTACGCCATGCAGAACTGGAAAGATTGCCAGTCTGCACGGCGACTTTGCGGCACGGTAGCCGCATGGGAAATGATTTCGATTTGATGACGCGATTGGCATGAGGTCTCGGAGAGCCAATGTTGCATAGTTCATTGCATGTCTGTAAACCTCCTATTTATAGTCTCCTAATATGGGTGCGGTTAATGGAATCTTGTTACTTCTATTTTTGTGCACACACTTTATGAGGCCACAGTAGATTAGTCCTTTTGAAAACATCTGGCCAGCTTGACATTGCTGGGCTAATTGGAACGCTGCGCGGTAGCCGTTCACGGCAAGCAGACTGAGTCGGAACCGTCTTGTTTGCCCTCCAGTCGACAAATTAACTGTGTCCTTTGAGACGTGCTGCGCTCACAGCAGGGAAAAACAAAGTCGCTTGAGTGAATTAACGTTATCTGATTTGCAACCCTTAGTTAGCTAGCGCGCACAGGTCTGATGTCACGAATAATGATTTTGCTGTTTGCCAGTTTACATTTTTCGATAACCCTTTTGATCTCCTGTCCTCAACTTTTTTCATTCTATTTTTTTTTCTGTGGTCTATGGCTCCAGTGGCCACTATTCAGCAATTTATAAATGCAGAATCGAATTAAAACCAGAAGTGCGTTCATTGTAACATTTTTTTTTGTCCTTGCCAGGACAAGCTCAAAGCAAAGCAATGTGTCGGTATTCCTGTCATGTTCTTCATTTTCCTTACATTTGCCTGTATTTAAACCGAAGAGTTGTCGGTATTTTGTTTAGCTTATGTGCACAGCACCTAACGTGTGAAACATAGTCATCGGGCTGAAAAGGCAATCATTATTCTGTCACATATTTTGTCAGTCAGGCTGTTTACTATAGGTTTATACCTTATTTTACGCGGGCACATGTTTATTCATGCTGCCATGAATAAACATTTGCGATGCAACGACTGATTAGGTCGAAAACATGCTCAACTACACTTAGCAAAAACAGGAACACCAAACAACATACTTTCGAGGATGTAAATGGTGCACCTATCTGGATTGAAGGCATGACAATGTTTATGCAATCAGATTGCACGGAAAACCCCACGATGTTATAATCCACATGTCTGAGCACCGAACCGGTACCGGCGCTTTGCATTGTTTCTGGGGTTACATCACCGTTGAACAATGTTTATGGCTGGTTTGTAACATTGGCCGCTTTTGGAAAAGTCTGAATAAATTATGCACTCTAAGCACCGTTACAATTACCTACTTACTCTGAAGAGCGTCCCATTCCCATTCCACGTGTAAATGAGTGGTGTAGCTCAGGCTGTACAGAGTGGCCATCTTTCCGTGTGGATGACCCTTTCAGCAGGGCGTGGACTCCGCCCTTCTCGTACCGCTAAGTCTGCTCCTCTTCCCATTCATCTGACCTCCCTCCGTCGACAGAGCGCCATCAGCCGGACAGCTCTGTCCCGTTTTGTACACGCGCCTCTCGGAGTGACCCAGCACCGGTGTCACTCCACCCTTCGTGTACGGAGCGTCTCGGGGCCGACCCCGTCCTCCCTCTCATCACACCGGCGCCGACTTTCGCCTGTATCTTCCGACGGTCACCTGCTGGTGCCGCCCACATCTGTCGTTATCACGACATCGCGGCTATCCACTGGCCGTCCAGGGCCTTTGGACCGCGCTATCACCCGCATCGCGACCGCCCGCGACGGCACGGGAGGCGACGGAGCGCGAGGCACCCAGCGCACCCCGGTGCTAAGTCGCGGTCTGGGCGGGTCCCCGTCCCGACACCTGCATAGTCACGTCGCTGGCGACTCTCTCCGTGTTGCAAGTGCAGTCACCAGGCAGCGGGCGGTGGCTGGAAGTCGCGTCACCGCGCTCTGATGAACGCGTCGACGTCGCCCACAAAAAGACGCATTGCGCGTGTCGAGTCGGCGGGTGGCGCGTTTTTGTCACCGGACGGTAGTCGGTGAAGCGTCAGATGGGGGAGGGGGACGGGGGCGGGGAATTAGCACCTCAAGACGACCGTGCTAAGGTTGGCAGGGTGACAGACGCGGTTATCGTTCAGTCGGAAGGCCACGAATCGCACTCAGCTGCACTTCCTTTTATTTCGCCGCCACCCGACGCGAGATAAGCTTATGCAGAACAGCGAGCGCCAATGCGTTCGGTTTTATTACGGGCTGTAACTTCTGAAAGCTATTTGTTTGGACGGCAATACGTGCGCTATAAAGATGTCGCCGTTTGTCTGAATATCGATAAGATACCGAGGGCGATGTCTAGCGACACGCTTTCGAACGGTATGCTCATATTCTGATATCAGATAAGAGCAGCCTGAACGCGAGCCATTGTGGTTTGTAAATAGCACCTGCCAGAATTGTCACATCACAGCACACAAAACCACAACACAGATACCGTTTAGGTTCCCGCCACACAAACACCATCTGGTTTTGATTTTATCGCCTGAACTCAATGATTGCCACTTGTTTTGGGGCCGCTGTAGGCGTCAGAATCGTTTCACTGGGAGCCAATTGAACAATTCTGGCTATTCAACTCGCCCACAATCTTCAAACACCACTCTAAAAGGCTCTTTTGTTGGTGAGGCGTGGGATCGCCCAGCCCAAACCATTGGCCTAAAGGTCTCCAATTGCTCTCAACACTCGTCTCTATGTGGACGTGAGTGCCGGCGCCGGCTTGCGAGCCGTCATGGGCTCATGAAATCGTCCTTTGGTGCCATATGGCTCGCACATGCCGCTGCCAGTCTCCGGGGGACGCATTGCGCCCCCACTGCAGAGCGACCGCATGCCGCGGCGCCCGCTGCGTCACGTGCTATTGAAGCGACCCGCCTCCCTCCATCACTGCAGAGACACATTCCATCGCGGCCCCTCAGCTCCCGCAGCTCTGGCAGCTCTCTGGGCTTCAGCCCGCAGCCGGCAGCAGGGCTTCTGCACGGGACACGGTGCACGGCTTGCCTCTGACGGGTCCCGCAGCTCTGGCGGTAGCTCTCGCGGCGGCACGTCTGTCTGCTAGTGGTAACTGTCCCTAACTGCGCCTGACGGACTCTTCCGGCGCAGTTTGTGCGGTATAATTTCACAGCGAGCTGCTACTGTTGGCGGCTACTGTGCAGCGCTCAGATCTGCGCTCGGTGTGAAGTCAGCACTTGGTGCGAGTGCAGTGAGCGGAGCGAACAGCTCTGTGCGTGACTGTAGGACCGCCGTTGACGGGCCTCCCATAGTGTTCTGAGGTCATC